ACAAGGTACAATCTTCAGATTCCACTAGCAGACATCAAAGGGTTTGTCAAAAGCAAAATTCTCAGCAAATGGCAGAAGCAATGGGATGACAAAGTATATAACAAGCTGAGAAATATAAAACCCACCATTGGATACTGGCCATGTATGGCTAATAGAAAGGAAGATGTCCTCTTGACTCGACTGAGAATTGGCCATTGTCGCCTGACCCATGAGTATCTTCTGAAGGGAGAAGAGAATCCCAGCTGCCCAAACTGCAATGCAGATCTAACAGTCCATCATATCTTGGTGGAATGCCAGATTTTTAATTATTTTCGCCAAAAACATTTTAATTGCTTAGAACTGGACTTAGGAAATTTAATTGGAAAAACACATCATCGTAAAACATTTTAATTGCTTAGAACTGGACTTAGGAAATTTAATTGGAAAAACACATCATCGTAATTTGTTTCTGTTTTTAAAAGATATTGGCTTTTTTAATAGACTTTAACCTGTTTTTTAAAAGATATCAGCTTTTATCATAGATTGTAATCTATCTCTTTTTACCTAAGCTGGAAGTTTTTACAAATGACTAATGCATTGTTACCATTTGTCTGGCGCAGATAACCTTGACAGGTTTTGTGCCAAATTACAATAATCCAATCCAATCTAAAGATATGCTGCTTTTAAATATTATTTTGTGATTTTGCTGTTGAATCAAATTTTACGTGGCGTAAGCGGCAAGAATGTCATATTTAATTAAAGTAAACACACAAGAAAACAGAAAAAGAATCATAATTAAAAAAAAAGGTTTTGTAAAGCCATCTTGGTAAGAAAATTGAACATGTGATGAACTGTGGGGGAGGGAATAGAAAAACATATCCCAACACTTAACGCTGCATCTGGAATTCTAAACGTATACCGCTATACTGCCCTTAAAATTTTTCTAATTTGTTGTTTTACTGTGTATGGCGTAGTACGAAGAAAATGGTGTTTATAAAAAAGCTAAAAAGAAAGAAAAAGAGGGGGGCGGTTGTTAAGAATGAATATAGCAGTAGACTGGAAACTCAGCGAGAGTATGAAAAACGTTAACAAACCCTTTTGAGAAACCTTTTTATTTTTTTATGCATATTTAAAAGAAAGTTAAAATGTAATAAGAATACATAGGAATATTAACATTACAATATTTAAGGTGTATTATTTCTACTTCCCTGTATCTTGAATCTCGAGCTAAAAAGTCCTCTCTTACTCCTTAATTCTCAAATCATTTACTGATGCTGAAACTGTTGTATGTGCTTTTAGAATTTATAATTTAAGTAAACCAAATCCTCAATCTGAAAACTTTCATGGCTGCCAAAAATATTCTTTACTGCAAGAAGTGAAATATAATTTGTTTGAAGAGCTGTCAGTTGTTTCCTTCGCTGTTGCTTGAATGAATGCCACACGAGTCGTGTCCTGTTTTTATTTAATTTCGTATTATTATACCCTAACAATGGCTTGTAAGGAAACATGCACAGGTACATAATCTCGATGCCGTCTCTGCCAGTCGCTGTATGTAGTTGTGAATGACGCTTTGCCATGTCCTTGAGATACCTTTCACCTGTTGCTCGGCAAACAGCTGTAGATTACGATTCTTGTCGCACAGTTTTTTTTTTTTTTTTTTTTTTTTTTTCCGATTACATTTTAAAGCGAAAGAGATAGTTTATTTTGAGTGCAATAATGTAAGTAGTGCTTTTATTGCGCTCATTTGAATTGCAGATATTTATTTCTTTTAGGACGAAGAAGGGTTTAGTATCGGTACGAATTTTCATCTGTAAAATACCATCTTATTAAATAAGAAATAGTGTATTCAAAGTTATTTGAAGTGTTAAAAATCAAACTGTAAATTGCATTCTTCCTGTAGCATATTTTATGATTGATTCATAACTTATATAATTAAATTTCATCACCTCTATGATTATGTAATTTGTACTATTATTTACAGCTATTTGCATGTAAAATTGATTTGTTAACCTTCTGCACCGGAGAGTGTAATAATAATACCCTGAAAGCACGTGACCACCGAGGACGACATTAATTAAGAAACACTTTACTGAACACTTTTCCCCTTAAATTCTGAAAGCGATTCGGATACTCGGAGTTCGGATAATTGGACTCGTACATGAAATGGCATGACAGTAGGCATTTCATGTATTTGCTTATTCTTGTCTTTTTCATTTTAATTGAAGCATTGAATATTTTATCCAGGCATTTATTTTTTTAATAATTAAAAAACGTGGTTTTTAATAATAATTAAATTTATTTTTAATAATATCTTGGCAAAATAATGAGAACTGCCACCTGAGAAAAATATTTATTGTTGCCTTGTACAGAAGCGATTCGTTAAAAAATATGCACAGCTTCTTGAATAATTCAGTCTTTTCTTTATTAAATAAGTGCGCAGGTCTCCGTCTGGCTTATTTACGATGAACTACAGTAATATGATTGCAACCACCTTAGTAGAAGTCGCCAGATTCTGGCAACCGTGCGTGTATTAGTTCCTTAGGTATTGTATATCCATTGTAAGTTGCAATCCGAAAATTCGCTGAATCAACTTCTGTAAAAAATCGCTAAATTGCGCCAAGGAGTTTGCCGCCAATACGGAAGTACCGAAATACCACCGTAGTAATGTTTTTCCCTACCATTTAGCATTATTATTGGTACTTACTTATTATCCCATCGACCATTGGCAGAAATTTCGGTAACCGTTGCCAATCACCGGTATCAAATTTTGATATTTATCAATAATATTACTTTTCTCTCATTAATTTATATAGCAAATTAAAAATAATTTAAATAAATGTATATGTATTTTTCGAGTTTTGGAAAGGAAGAGGGGAATCATCATCTAGCCAAGGTGAAAGGGGTGCATAGGCGGAAAAGGCTGAGAACCAACGATAAGCCCTAACATACCTTGAATTAATGAGTGTCATCAATAATACGGCTGTAAATAGTTCTTCTAATAGGTAATAATCATATTTTTAGTCAAAATTACGATATGCCTGTATGAATGGCTACAAACGCCCACGTTTGTTTGTCCTTAAAGATTTTTTTTAAAGATATTATTTTGACCTCTTCGTAAATTCTTCTCCTTTGTGATAACATCAAACTAGTAAGGTTACATCAATGGCAAACCGATTGAAATTCCGAAGTGAGGAAAAATCTGCCTCATTTTCTTCCGTCCTTCGCAGTTGCTCGTGACAATTTAAAAGAACGAATCTTCGTAATCATATATAACAAGGAAAAAGGCTTGGTATGCAGTTACGATATGATTATGTGGTTTCATTTTGACATATTTAAGAATTAATATTGTAAATCTATACTCGATGTTTTGTCAGGAATTGAATATTTGCACTTATCATTAAGGAATTTGTCTGTAGTTAAATCATTTACCGTGGCAATGATAAAAATCGGAATATATTACATTAGAACTCCAGTTATCCGAATCAGTTGAGACCAGACCCCATTCGGATAATCAAAAATTTGAATAATTGGATTTTTCCCGAGGAAAGGGTCTACGTACACTCGAATTAATTACCGTATGTAGAAAATGGGAGGAAAAAAACTACTTTTAAAGAAAAAGTGGTTTTAATTAATTAAAATGAAAAGGCAACACTTTTACGTATATGTTATCTAGCATGCTGTAGAGTGCTTGAATTGCTTAAAGTCATTGTTTGCTGAGCACCTCGGTCAAAGTAAGCTGCTTGACTCTCTTCATCCGTCTCTGGGCAGTCAAGTCGCGCATCTGCTTGACAATGAGAAGTTGTATGTAGCCACACTCTTAATTTTCCCCCCTTAAATTCTGAAAGCGATTCGGATAGTCGGAGTTCGGATAATTGGACTTGTATTGTACATGAAATGGCATTACAGTAGGCATTTCATGCATTTGCTCATTCTTGTCTTTTTCATTTTAATTGAAGCATTGAATATTTTATTTCGTGGGAGGAGTTGAAAAATGGAACAAACTCATTTACATAGTTGGCGGACAAAGTATTATCAAAAATGGTATTTATTTTTGACTCTTAAATTTTAGTGGAATTTAAGTTTTATGAAAATTAAAGTGTTATAAAAGTTCAAGTGCGATTTTTAATTCAACAGCCAAAGAAAATACGGCTTGCTTATAAATTAACCCTTTCATGACTATGATTTGCAATATCCTGTGTACTTTTTACGCATATAACGTACACTACGATTCATACATTAGCCGTGTACTGTGGCTAGTTCCGCATTTCGCAACTCCTGTTGCTGATTTTCTTCTTTTTTTTAATTTCTTCTGTGTTTGCGGCTAGAGTTTTGGTAATTTGGTCGAGGATTCGAATCCCGGCGAGCGACTTTCTGCATGGACGCTTTCGTGCTTTTTCCCATGTGTAACGTGCATACGAACCAGTTTCCCGTAGAAAGTCCTCCACGGAAGCATCCGTCTCTTAGGCAATACTTCTTGGAGTGCTTTGCCATAATCAAAATAAACCAAACCTTCTGTGTTTGCAGAAATTTTGAGAACTTCTTGTGTTTTATTGAAAAAGTTAATAAACAGTTCATCTTGATGTTGTGCGATTCTAATTTCTCCAAAAGAATTCATCTATAATCTTTATAATTTAATTGTAAATTTTTGTCTTGATTTTAAAATTGTATGTTTATAATTTCTCGCATTTATGGTCTTAAGACATTTATTATAAATTTGTTATGATTGGAGGATAAATTTTTACAGTGTTGTATTTGTATCGCCTTTTTAATTTCCAAGCAGTTCATTTTGTTAACGTTAAAGGAAAGGGTCGTTGAATTCTCCATACCTCAAACTGAAAGACGCTGTTTTAGTTGTTTTTGTAACGGATTATTTTAAATAGAACATACAGTGAAAATTAATATATAAATGTATGAAATTTTTAATTGGAAGGTATTACTTTTCCTCTAAACTTTGAAGGTTTTTATTGTGAACCGGATTGGAGAAACTGCCTCATGTTTTAAATTACTAATTTTTCTTTTAGATAATATTAAAAAATGTCGGGATATCCACCACCTCCTAGTTATGGTGCTTATGACCAGGCGCCTCCACCTGGTTTCGGTTACCCTGCACAACCTGGATATCCCTCTCAGCCCGCGTACCCTTCACAGCCTGGATACCCCTCACAGCCTGGATACCCCGCACAGCCTGGATACCCCGCACAACCAGCATACCCCTCTCAGCCTGTTACTCAACCACCCGGAGGTTATTATCCAGGACAGCCGCCTACACAAACAATGTAAGTAACTTTTGCTCAAAATTCAATACTGGTGGTACAAGAATACCTGTTTTTTAATGCGATGTGGAATTATTACCTATATTTATTACTTTTTTTCGGATGCCACGCGCTTTTAAATATTTTTCAGAAATATGTAATCCAATATTTTAATTTCCACGTTTGGTGATATTTCGCCATAGAAATCTTGAATGAGTTGTTTATTTGTATTATCTACAGTAAAAGTTTTCAATCGGTCAAGGGCAGAATGCAAGAAATAGTGAATTTTATAACCAAGTTTTTTTCTAACACGAGGTATTCAGAACTGGTGAGATTGACGCGATTATAACATAGCTTAAATTCGGCCGGATTCGTGCTTTGACGTTCCTCAATTTTTGAGTGAAATCGTAATAAAAGTCGGAGTCGCATGTAAGATGAGCTTCGGCATTTTTTGCATGTGGAAGTTGCCTGAATGTGTGTATGTTTCTCGCACTGTGACAAAAAATGACGGTATATCGGAAATTCGAAATATGTAACGTTTTTAAATATTTTGTGATTTTGCTATTCACCTGAATTTTACGTGGCATAAGTGCGAAGATCGCATTATTATTGAATTAATTAATTTAGCACACAAAATGTTAATACTGAAAAGAAAACAAAAGTTATGCAAGCCACTTACTAAGAAAACTATAGACTAATATGATAAACTGAGAAAAGACTGAAAAAAAAAAAAAAAAAAAAAAAAAATTAGAAAACTCTGTATGCCAACACTTAAGACTGCATCGGGAATTCTAAACACATGCTACTTTTAATTTTTTTAAAAATTTTGCTGTTGAATTGTATATGGCGTAAGTGCGAAGAAAATAATGCTTAATTAATAAAGATGAAATGGCAAAAAAAAAAAAAAAAAAGGGGTTAGCAGGAGTGAGTGCAACAGCAGACTAGGAGCTCTGCCAGAGCGTAGAAAATGCTAAAAAACTCTTTTGGGCGACCGTTAAGATCCGAGCCTTTACAGATTTAATTTTTTTTATATAAAATTATTTATTTATTTTTATTTCCCTTTCCTGGCAGCCTTCCCCCCACCAGTGGCCGAGTAGTTAACACAGCTGAATACTTGTAGTTCGACCTAGATTCGAATCCAGGCGAACAAACTGGCTGTATGAATGGTTTTCCCTATGTGTAACTTGGATATGGGCCAGTTTCCCTTAGAAAGTTCTCCACGAAAGCATTCCTTTGATAGACACATTGCCTGGGTATACTTTGTCGTTTCCAAATAACTTAACCTCATGGTCTTCCACAGAACTCCGTTGTTTCTAATTTTAGAAATTAAGGGTACTTTTCCGTTTCGCCGGCGCAAATCCCGCCAAGAACTTTATTGGCGACAACATACAGTATACACATAAAAAATGTTTAACAAATGTTAGTCCTAAGAATTTTTTATTTTAAAGGCATAAGCATTTTAATATCGTTTAAAATTTTGTAAAAAGCCAATAAATTCGTAAAAAGACATTAATTTAAGAATTTACTATGCTTTCATGGTACAACATCCTGATTCGCCTTTTCCTATCACGTGATCCCAAGTTATCTCATCTCACGTAAATTACGCTACAAAAATCTAATTCTCTCAGTAATTATCTACATTAATTTCAAGTTAAATCTTAATTTGGAATACAAGTTTAAATGCAAGAATTATTTCAATTCGTACGAATAGCTTACTCAGAAATTATGTAAAACCGCAGTGCTTTACATCGCTCGTGCATTCTCATTAGAATGGATGAATTTAACCCTTGATATATTTTCGCCTTCGGGTGAGCGGTATAATTGCATTCTAATTGACTTAATTACCACGAATGGTCTTAGGGCGTAAAATTGAACTATTTTGTAAAAATTCCATGTAGTTGTATGGCCAGTATTGAAAGAAACAATCAGATAAGAAATGGCTGCGACTAGTTTTGAAAATGAGGCGTAAAGGTTACCAGCGAAGATAATCCGTTTGGCATCAGTTGTACCATTATTGGCGACTTTATTTTTTGCACCGGCAAAACGGAAAAGTACCAAATTAAGCCCAGCATTCTGGAGAATAAGACTTGCGTACCCCACCCCTCTTCACCCCGGTGCAATCTCTGTGGTACCCTCTGCTGGCCGGTACGCATTTCAACATTCTGTACCGCCCACGCGCATAGGGAAAAATGCGTGTTTGTCATTGGACATACTTTCCCGTGACATCATTTTCTCTTGGCGTATTGATGTTTAAGAGGGATTTATACGGTTTTGTTTTCGTTGAATGACGCCCATGAGTGACACGGAAATGTTAAAATTATCGTTGGTTTTTTTTTAACAATAATGCCAGACGAAAAGGTTTACTTGCAGCGTTCTGCAGATGGCTTCCTGTTTTATGGAATAATAAAATTATAAAATCCTTTAAATATGCTGTTAATACCAGACGTAAACTTAAGCGCTTAGATTATATGAAAATATCAAGTTCTAGAATTTAGTACAAAAAAACAAAACACATTGGATTATCCAACAATTTCGACCCAACTGTAAAGGCACTGTGTGCTTGTAAGTATATTATTATTGCAATTTTGTTGCATTCGTTTCCTTTAACGTTGCAGAAAATATTTCCTTTTCAAATGCATATGTTATTTCCATGTTAGTGTCTATGTCTTTCCCATTTCTAATATTCTGTTGCCTTAAATGAAAGAAAAAAGTGCATTAAATATTGTCGCTGAGTTTAATACACGGGTACAAGGAAAGGAACTTCCTTTTCTGATAAACACTAATTTTACACAAAGGTATGAAAGATATTGCGCATTAAAAATTGGCAATATTCATAAAGTAACATCATTCAATTTAAACATACGTATCTTTATTTCTGTAATACATATCTATAGGATTGTAACTTCAAAAATAAATTTTACTTATCCTAACTACAAATATAGTTTAATTTACTGTATATTATGTTAACTCACAACATTTTTGCCATCTGCGAAAACTGACTTATTTTCGGAGATAACAATTTTCGGAAATAACATCTGCAGAGAATGGATATATAATGAACACGAACTAGTGAATTAATAATCACCACACCTGTACTCCGAACAGTTTTAAATTAAGAATACATTTATTAAAAATCTATGCACCTAATATTAATACACATTTACGGATTTAGCAAACTAGAAGAAATAATACTTTTTCTCTCTTGGGAATATTCACTACAATTTTTTAACTTAGTTCACCACACTACAATGCCGCAAGAAGTGTCATCTCATGACTCCAAAAATACAGCGCGCGTCATTAAAAGTAATAATCCTTTCGATACTGCTATCAAAATGTAAACAAATGGTATGCAGGTGTACTCTCGAGGTTAAGCAAAGGCTTCTTAAGCGTAGAAGAAATAATCTCATCGGAAGCCATACCCAATCCCAAGAATGAAGGTTTTTATGTCTTTAGTTAATATGCATGCAGTAGTTGTAGAATTATCAACAATTTAAAAGCTGTTTAAGTGAGGCTAAGCCTATTTTTTTATCATAGCAGCCATATTTGTTTACATTTGAATCTTAGCAGAATAGTAAATTAAGTCAGCTTCTGCACGTTCTGTGGCTTTTTGCCGAGTGGGACCAAACATAAACTTTCAGTTTTGTGCACCGAAAAAATTTGCCTTCTTGCCCGCTGGCCAAATTGCTTGTTTTTGTTTAAATTCTAATTTGAATTTTTAATTTTAATTGTAAAAATTGCTTTTTTTAAATTCTTTTAAATGTATTTGGTGTTTTATGTTTTTTTCTGTATTTTTCAATTTTTAATGAAGATATTTTGAGGTTCTATGTAGTTTTGCCTTGCCGCGAAGTGAGAACTGAATTAGAGAAAATTTCGAGGAAATAAATTTAAATGAAATGCAGCAAAATATGCGTATAATATAATATTCCATGAAAGGAAGTCGTGGTGTCCGCATCTGATTTTTTGGTATTAAAAACTAGGTTTGTCAGGTTATATTATCCTTCTAAATATACCCTACCTTTTGCATGTTATTTGGTTTGAAATGGTGATGGTGCTCTTATGTTTTTATTAACATTTCTTTTTGCATGTTTTTACATCGAAAACTAACCTTCACTTTCTGACTTCTTTCCTATATCCCACTTCTTGCCTTTTCCCCTATTTTTCAAATATTTTGCAGAATAGTTAATGAGAACAATGAGGATGAAGACTGTGCTAAAGATTGCTGCATATGTGCATTATGCGCAGCTCTGTGTTGCTTCTGCCTGAGTTCGGACTGATTTCCAAGACGTTATAACGGATAAAGCGTCTAGGATAGTTGAAGACGCAAGATTTCTTGCGCAGTCATGGTCGCCAAAAATTTCTTTTAAATTATTGTTTCAAGGCCAAAAATTTATTGTATAAATGTGAAAAAAAAAAAAAGACTTTGCTTGCAGTTTCTCTTGCAATTGATATTACAGACCTGTTGAGCAACCAGTTCGTTTATTTATTAGTAGATCTTAAATAAGTAGATCGTTCATGAATTGTGACATGATGTATTCAAATAGCCAGTTATCAACCATATCTTAGAAATTCTAGCTTCAAAAAGAAAAATGAATGGTATGTTTTTAACTATAGATGGTTCTTTTCGAAATACTTTTATAATTTTCTCCAGTATTTTCAAAGTGATTGATAAAAAAAAATTTAAAAAAAAAAAAAAAAACTGATAAAATGTTGAAAAAATTGGCTCATACAGTGTCTATTTGAATGAAACTTCTTATAAATAAGTGAGGCCATTTCAGAAGCATAAATTATTCGAAAATTGGTCTGCAGTTCTTTTAATAAGCACAATTTGCAGGGAAGCAAGAAGTCTTTGCAAATAAAATAAGATCAAATTTTGTCAACATAAATTAAATTCCGCCGTGTTCATGGCTGTGCGTCGAACTCTGACAATTCAAAATGCTGCGAAGTTGCACAATATTTGAAAAATACGTTAATATGTTTTGGTTAACTTTCTTTCAAATTGTATGGAATAATTTAACTGTTAATTG